CATCCACTCGTGTTACGGTAAATAGCGTTGTTATTTATTACCAGTTTATATTTTTTAATCTTCATTCTTGTCTAGGAAGCAACAGTTCATCAAGAGTTAAAACTACCAGAATGTGCACTTGGTAATAGTTTCGATCGATGTTGATTGCCCCTTCCATATCGGTTTTATTTATGTAGTTATTGTTATAAACTTTTATTTTGAGAGAAGGAAGTATGAAGACTCCAGTACAAAGAATGAAAAGAACGAGGCGAACCCATTACAACTTTACATATTGACTGAGGACAGAAGGCAGGAAAAAGATGCATGATAAGAACGATACACAATGACAACAAAAAAAAGACAAAGTAAAGAATAGTTATTCTTTGCCACGACGTGTAAAGATAGGTTTAATGTCGACTGGAATTATTGGATTTTCTAATAATGCTCTAATAAACAGGCCACCCATCACAGGACGAGCTCGAAATCCTAATACTTTTGCATTTGATGCATCATAAAAATCACTTAATGGTACTCTGTCTGGAGTTTCGCTCGCATATTTATAGAGAGCATTGATTATTGTATCTTGTTGTTCTTTTGTACTAAATGCTGCTATCCAACTTTGCCAATCTGTTTTGGTTAAGCTTGAACGAGAATCCAATGGTACTCCATAGTTCAACATTTTTGTTTGATAATAATTACTTTCAATCAATGCTACTGAATCAGGAAATAGATTCAGATTTAATATATTCTGATAAACCAGATTATACTTCTGAGACCATGTTCCTGGTAAATCATATTGTAAACGGTAATTATCTGAATCTCTCGCATTAGTCATCCAATATTCAGCATAATTTTTTGCATCATTCATATAGGCTTTTGCCATTTCAGTCTGTCCACTATAGTTCAATAATAATGAATAGGCTCCTAGTCCTAGAATACCTTTGAGTGCTAAATTAACATTATGTGGAGATGGTCCTTCAAAGTCGTCTGTACACAATTGATTTCCAGGATCAGGTAACGTTGAATTTAGGTATTGTGCCCAGGTACCTAGTACAGACCAGTACGGTTTTAAAAAATCAACATTATATTTTAAACGTTGAACTATTCCAGCTAACATGAGTAGCATATTTGCTGATTCTTCCATTGGCATTTGTTCTTGTTCGTCTGGTGTAATATCACATACAGACCAAGTTCCAAGATGATGTGGTGCCCAAGGTAAATTATAACTGATATCTGTTACATTATTAGCATACATCAATATTGGCAATAATAAACCTTTCAATATTTCTGGTTGTAACCATAATAACATTGGAGATGATGGATAAATAACATCAACCGTTGATACATCACCTTAAAGAAAAAGTCAATGGTTCATAATTCAAGAGCGAACTTGAATGTAAAAGTATATGACACCCATATGTTTAGAAAGCGTCTCTTACCATCCGAACTTATTTCTTTCATAAAAAGAAATGTTGTTTGAAATTTTTCACTCCATGTTACTGTCATTGCGCCTGTAATTTGTCTAATAACTAATGAGAGCAATGTTGCATATTTTTCACCAGCTGTTTTGTTTAATAATTGAATAACAAGTGAGTCAAGTACCGATACGTCTTCCATACTTGTACTGTAACGTCTGATTGCTTCATTAGCTAACATTGTAATATTTTTTTGAGATCTCCAATATGGCACTTGATAATCATTAAAATAATACATTGAATAAGTATCATCATAGGCAAATGTTAGAAAAGATTCTACTTGTTCGCCGGTTACATTTCCAAAATTAATAACGTAAGCAGATACTGAAGAGTTATCACTAGCAGAACGTGGTTTACGTTTATCATTTGCCGGTAATGGTTGTCCATCAATAAATGATTGACGAGACGTTTGTCCACTTGCTTGTGTTTTTGTATATGGATATTCTCTGCCATCATAAATTAAGTGAGCATAGCCCCAATTATTTTTTTCTGAGTCGCCCCTTATGCGAAATGCAATTTGATCAAACGAAAACATTGTCAATATTTGAGTAGAATTTATCGACGATAAATCGTCATACCAGTCTACTTTTTCATTTGGATCATTGATCGGTATATAAGCACTCATATCAAAATATAGCTGAGCTTCATGTTTTTTTTGATCAACTGATTGCAAATAAAATGAGATGTACGTATAAGGATCATCAAGAGCAGGTGGTTGTGAAAATGCGAGTGTCAATTGAACACCAGCACTCTGAAACGTATAAACCGTACGCCATGGATTGACAATTACTTGTGTTTGTTGCATGGGTGGCGCTTTAACTTGATCAGAACCCATGAATCTATATGTTATATTATCGATACGAATCATGCCGACAAAATCCATTTGTTTACCACTCCAGTGAGCACTGTAGGAATCGGTTAAATTATTTGATGGACTCCATACGGACATGTGAGGGGAAAACACAATTAAAGGGACGGCTGGTGGACGAAAACCATCTATTAAAATATTCTCATTTTTTGCTGATATAATAAGAAAGATATTGGTAACAATGCAAATCAACAGAAGTTTAATAAACATGATTAATAAAGAAGTTAAATTATACAATCTAAAAAAGGTGTATTTGAGAACATCCTAAATGTTTCGAAAATCCTCTCAAATGGTATTATTGAAAACTTGGTTGAGTATCATGCAATGATATTTTTGAAAACTGATTTGAGTTTTTGAGAATACTCTTCTTTTTTTAAAGAGAGTATTCTCAACATATTGTACTAATAAGATTTTTAACTTTAGACATATTTGGTAGATAAAAACATGTGTGTATGTGGTACACATATGGTAAACACAAGATAACAGTAGAAAGAAAAGAGGAGGACAAGTTTACACATAAGTTCTACTAAAATGTTAATAAACAATGACCTATCAGATGTACTGTTCTACTGAAAGAGAGTTTATCTGTGGCTATGATAATATGAATATCGAATTGGGCAGTGCAGGATCGCATTTTAAATACGAATGTTTCGCTAAATTACAGATCTGATAATGAATGTATAATTCGTATCGATATGATGATAGGTATCTATATAATACAGAAAAATACGCTTAAACAGGTTGAAATACATTACTTTTACAGATAATATTATTAAAGAAAAACCTTGTTAGGGTGGTACCAAAAGGTGAAACTCCCTATACTGATCAAGATAGGTCAATAAAAATCGGCGAGAAATTACCAAAAGTGATATCAGATTTTAAGTAGGCTCAGAAAAACCTATCATAGCACCGGTTTTTGAGTATAAAACTGACACTCCGTCTTCTTCGAAGACTTGGAGGGAGTTTCACTAGTTAAGAGGTTATGACCCCCTAAAAAATATTCCCCTGATATCATTCGATATCAGACAGGTACGTAAGTAGTTGCGACCGCCAGTTTAAGAGGCTGTAACTGACGTAAGTGGTTCTGACCGCGAGTTTAAGAAGTTGTGACCGCAATTTTAAGAGGTTATGACCGAAAGTGATATCAGTTTTTAAGTAGCTTTAAAAAAACCCAGGATAACACCGGTTGTTGAATATATAACTGAAACTTCGTCTTCTTCGAAGACTTGGAGAGAGTTTCACAAAAGAAACTATTCTTCTAAAGACAAATAGCAGTGTTTTTATACATAATAGAAATGAAAAAAATCATCCTAAAGTCAGCAATAGTGTTGAAAATGTGATGGGCTATATATACTTCACGATAAAGATATATTACTTTCTAATTTTCAAAGTTTTAGATTAAAGAAAGTTTATCGTCAGTTGTTCAAGCAATATTTGTACAGACTTTATCGGTATGATTCATAAAATGGTCGTGGAACTATTTCTCTTTAAAAATCTTTGTTCAAAATCTTTGTCTTCATTTCTGGGCCATCGTAAGGTCTTGCTTTATTACTTGTTAGAAAGAAACAGCAATTCAAATTTTAACGCTCAGTTTTAAAGGTTTTGCTCTTGTCTTGAAAATAGTACTATGTTTGTCGATACCTCAATATATTCTTAATAAGTTTTATTAATTGAAAATGGAAACAATCAAAGTTGCTGTAAACTCGGGCCTATTTCTACTCAAATGTTTTGACCTTTGGACAAGAAAATTATATTCAATAATAATTGTCTTTCATTTTCCAATGTTATTATTCGTTTACGTAATTCTTCAACCGTTTTATCCACAGAACAATTTGATATAAAATTTGTTGTTGTTGCGATTTCAGAAGAGATTGGTGGAGAGGATGTTTTTGATTGATGTTCTTTATCGAAAATTATTAAATTTTGATCGTTGGTGGGTGATCCTGATCGATGGTGAAAACAAGAAGGCACTGAGAAACTGGTTGGACCATTATTCATTGTGACAAAGGGTGTTAAATATTGATGATGCTTACTATCGAATGATGATTGACTACATCGATCTGTTGCTGACACTTTGACATTTGATGATATTGTTGTGGCAAAATTTGAACATAATATATCATTACTAACTGTTTGAGTTAAACGGCGATTATTCTCTAATTCAAATGTGAGCATTGAAATGACTTGTTCTATATGATCGAGAATTTGTTGACTTGGAGAATTGGACATCATAAGAGCGAAAATAAAATTCAGTAAAAGTGAAATATTTTAAAGCTATATAGTTCTGATACAGGAGGATCATTTAAGAAAACGAAAAGAAGTTTTATCGACAAATAGTCGAAATAGAACATATAGTCAGTCTCAGTGACTCATTTTATCAGACCATGATCAGTTCTTTCATATTCTTCTTTTCTCACAGCAACCGACGAAAACTAATTCTATAGTGAAACTTTTTCTTCAGTAGTGTACTTCTTTTAATCTGCGATATTAAACAAAAGAACTTTTTCGTCTACTTGTTTTCTCCTTTCAACAACAGGAGCTTTTTCAGTGATTTAAAGCCACTATGTCCGTGGAGTAAATAAATTGGTTTCAAATTTTCTCTCAAACTAGTAATTAAATACATTATCATCATTAGTGGAATACAAGAGGATTCGAATATCTTTTTTGTTTCATCTGTTCCTTCGTATAAGAGAAGTGCCGAGTCAACTCCGCATTGTGGCATGGTTATGTAGTTCTGATAACTACCAGTGCGGCACTCGAATTTACACAAAATTAAGCAAAAAGCAACCGTAAAAAAACAACTATTTTCCACCCTACGAAAATAAACAAATATCAGTCATTATTTCCCAAATAAACTTGAGTTTGATTGAAATAAATCCATCTGTGATTGAATAAAGAAGAAAACTATACAAAGAATCCGTTAGCTCAATGAAAGACGTTTGAACAAAAGAAAGGCAATACTTCAATATTTGAATGACTTTAGCGGTAATACACAAGTATACCAATATATTGTACGAAGAGTTTACATCTATAGTTTATTTTTACTTCAAAGCTCTATATAAACTTGAGTATCTAGAATATGTCACAAAATGTGACTCAAATAATTATTTTTCATAAAAGTCTACCAGCTTTGCACCAAACTCTTCTCCTACCTGTCTCACATAGTCTGTTCGATACAAGTATTTTACATGGTGCTCATCAATTTCTTTCTGTCCTTTCATTCCTCCTACGAGAGCGCCGATCATCGCTGCATTACTATCCGTATCACCACCGATCTCTGTTGCACGAACAACTGTATCGAACGATGGCACCTGACATGCCAGTAATCCAATAACCATCGACAAACTATCCACACAGAAAAATGTTCCACCATTGCTTACACTAATCAACGTTTCCTCACTAATACTGTCAGTCTGTTTCAATTCTTGAATATATCTTTTGATACGTGTGCTTAAAATATTTTTCACATCTTTATCAATATCTAAGCCATATTTATGCTCGTAATGAATGGCCACCTGGGAAGCATAGTCAAGGAATGAAAGACGTTCAGCATGACTTGATAATGAGTGTTTGAAAGCATAAATTGACATCTTAACAAAAACACACGCTGACATAACAGCTACTGTAGTATTGTGTGTCATACGGCATAAAATTTCAATTTCATCGTCTCTTTCTAATCGTTCCACTGGTGTTTTCTCATCCAATATGTAATAATAGAAGGCTAATGGAGCTATTTTCATAAGTACACCATTTCCTACCGACGTTGTATTTCCACTGTTCTTATACGTATGAGATTTATTGTTTAAGTTTTCAATTGCCGTTTTTGTACCTCCCCAACCGTGCACACATTCTTTCCATTCAGTTATATGTTCTTCTACAATGTAGGACATTCCTTCATTGCTAAATAACGGTGTTTTTGTTTCAATAGATTTACTGATGGCACGTACCATGGCTAATGTTAATTGTGTATCATCCGTCCATCGTCCACACGGCCAATCATGAGGAATATAAGGATTTGACGTTGTAACATGTGGATATAACATTTCCTTTTCATCTGTTGATTCATTTTCTTTTTCTCTTGTTTGTTTCAGTTCAAGAATTTGTTGTCGAGTCAACAGTTCATACCCAATACCTTTGGCATCGCCCACTGCAACACCAAGTACTAATCCCAAAGCACGGTTCATTATCTCATCAGTAGTTAGTGGCATTATTTTGAGTGTTCCTTACAATATAACTCTAAATGTATGAATTCAGACTGTATTAACTGACCAGGGAACCTCTCCAGATGTCCAGCTCCGTTTGAGCTTATATTTTGCTGATCGATAGGCCACATGAGTGTAACAAAAAGCCTACAAGGATTTGCAGCTTCCTTACTGAGTTACGGTTGATTTAGTGAAGTTCGAGTTTTGGATATTTTTACTGTAATGCACTATTTCAATTAGTTAAACAGCTGAAACTCACAGCAATATTAGTCCTAAGCAAAGCCCGTATGCTGTAAAAATGTCTGACCTTAGCCTTCTATCCTTCATGAAAAATCTAATTTTCTGTTTTTCATAGGGGATCAGCATTGAAAAAAATAAAATCAGAACTGAAAAAATTTTTTGGGCGGTGAATGGAAGAAAAATTTTTTTCGCTGTGTCACCAAAATTAACGAAAAAAAATTTTAATTTCCGCTGCGAGGAAAGGACAAATTTTTATTTTTGGGAGGTGTACACCCCCCCCCGCAGTATAAGGCCCTGTGCTTTTGTCAACTTTAGTGTCAGAGCAA